AATCAATATATTTGAAAATGTAGAAAACATCCAAAAATATTTAAATAAATGTTATTCTATTATTAACAGTGCAATTAATCGTGATTAATTTTTTTAATCACTTGACAGCCCTAGCTAAAACTACATTGAATGCTTTCCTTAAATTACTTATCCATGTACAAAATGTCTACAGTTAGCACAAGGATGTTATTTGATTATGCAAAGTGGGTTGGGTGGGCTGGGAGAACGTGAATGAGAAAAACTATTCGGATGCAGTCCACCCTATGAAAGCATTTAAGAACCCCTGCTTAATACATTCAACCAAGGCATCCCACACCCAAAAGAAAGAACGCACAAATAATCCCCTGCTAAATGGGCCAACATCCATAGGTTCTTACTCAAGCCTCCATCATACCTTTGCAGGAATAACCCAGATAAAATAATTCCAGTAATCCTATGTAAGATTAGGAATCACATTAAGGAGCCTTCAGGCATGAATTTTGAATGACCCATGCACCAATCTCAGCTCCAGCAAGATTAGCATGGCTTCCAGGGAGCTTTTGTTTATAAATAATTGGGGGGGGGGAGCAGTGTTTTTTAATGCCATGAGCATTCAAGGTGATATTCCTGAGCAAATATCTCCTTCTCCCAAGAGTAAATAATGAAGTGCCCTTATTAAAAACAACCCTCCTCCCCCCCCCCATATTCATTCAAATCACAGTTTATATAATGTGCTGCGGAGTTTTGGTCTATTTCAGCAAAGTACTGTAATAGTTATTTGTAATGAATGTGTTACAGTTGTAACCATGTCAGTCACAGCGATTGATGAGCCTTGTCTTAGATAACTCCTTCGTTTCTGTTACACCACATCATTATTCTGCTATGAGAGTTACAAGACTAGTTAGAGATGCTATTGTAAAAAAAAAATCAATCCCTAAACTTAATGTCAAGGGGTTAATTTTTAATTTTAGGTTAAATAAATATTTACAGAGTCCTATATAAAACTTATATTGCTGCCTTATAACAGCAAGAGGAACTAGAAAAGAAAGAATTATAGAAATGATCAGCCGCAAAACCATGCTAGTAGCAGAGAACATGTTCCATGTACACTCTTCCTTTTTGCATGTAATCAATATATTTTTGAGAGGCTGAATTCGAACCACCTCTTGATTATTTTAGCTGGATCCCAACTTCTGTAGTGTTCCTGTCCATGAGTTGCTTTGAAGTTACTATTCACTTGATTAAGTTACTTCTAAATTGCAAGCTGATTGTTCAGCGCTGGCATCAGAACAATAGACGTCTGTGTAACAGCATTACTGTGTAACGGTAATAAAAGCTGAAGTACATTAATTTGTAATTGAGGTCTATGTTAGTTGATATTAAAACATTTGACTTAAATACTTCGGTCTTTGCTTAGACACAGGACACAAGTATGGGCAGCGTGTACTGGAAGAACAATGAGCCAGATTCAGAGGTGATGAACACCCACAATTTCAACAGAAGCCCTTGGGAGCACTGGGGATCAAACAGAGCCCCACCAGAATACATACCAAATGCAGCCTTCTGAATTTAATAGATCCCTGTGGAAACCACAGCCACAACCAAATCCATGTCCAGTCACTTGAAACTCAAAGGCTAGAATCTGGTTTAATTTATGTATGCAGTCTGTCTGTATGTTTTTTAACTGCATTTTTAAGCATGACCCAGATTCCAGTATATATTTATACACAAGTATAAATCCAAAGGATTCGTATAAAATGCACTTAGTGTACCAGTTATGAACCAGATTGTATCAAGGCAGCCATTAAACTGAAAGGAAAATATTCTACTCTACACATCTCACCATTCAAGATTTTGAAAAGAAAAAAAATATAAGTAGTGCCTGATCATACAAGAGGTTCGTAGGGGTCTCCTGTCCCTTTCAAATTAATGGATATTTGTGTGGAAATTTTGTGAATCATATGAGCAGCAAGATACTGTATACATCACAAATATTTCAAAAACACAGATCCATCTAAGTTCCTATATATTAATTGCTTTTGATAAGCAGATGTTGCAAGGTTATATTCCTGTAATAAAAAAAAACTTTACATCAGAAGCTTACATGAACTGCCAAGTTCTGCAAAATGCTAGGTAATAATGCAAACTATGATGTCTGCACAAATTTTAGTTGAAGCAGGAGTATATATACAATGTCAAACAAAATGGACAATTACAACACTGAACATTTTTAAAAATTATTTTAGATAAGTACACCCAGTTGAAAATAAACAATTAAAAATATATTCTGTTACACCCCTTGGATCTCATGCTATAATACAATGTGAAATTCTAGTACTATGACAGGTTTCAGAGTAGCAGCCGTGTTAGTCTGTATCCGCAAAAAGAAGAACAGGAGTACTTGTGGCACCTTAGAGACTAACAAATTTATTAGAGCATAAGCTTTCGTGGACTACAGCCCACTTCTTCGGATGCATATGCATATGTACAAGTACTCCTGTTCTTCTTTTTTCTCTAGTACTATGACATTCTAGCATTTCATGTGCACGTATGTGCACACAACCTTTGTACAAATATTTATACCACAGCCATGGAGTGTATGAAAAAGAGGCTACAACTTCATTGTTCTATATGGATGTAGAAAACAGAAACATCTTAATTTTATTTATACCAACTATTTGGACAATGCAATAATATAGTTTCAGACCAAATTACTTCCAATGCAATTTTATGAGTGTTATTTCTCACATTAAAAAGTCAGCATAATGCTTAACATATTGATGAAGTGTGGCATAAGCAATATATAACAAATATACTACATATTTTTCCATCATTGTTTTGCCCTTTTCTAGATATAAAGCAGGCATGTGTGTGCTGTCCATCTAAACACACATGTGGACAAAGGATATGTAAAGTAAACCAAACCACATAACCCTTAGTGTTAAATGTTTTGTGATAGCAGAACAAAACAATCCTCAAAGACAAATGAACTTCTAAATTAAAATTGTGTTGCAGTTATTTAAATGACTACTTGGAAATCTGAGAACTACAAATTATGATTTTGCAGGATTTCTGCTAAAACCTGAGGAATATTAAACTAGCAATAAGCAAGGCATTTTCAAACAAGAAATTTGTAAAAAATACACATTTTTTACTAGAAGCTTTCATATATAAAAAGACAATAAGAAATATAATAAAACCTATCCATTTAGGACTACATCTTCCCTAGTAAATAGTTCTTTATTCTCACTTGCACTACATACAGTACATTCGATTTCCTACACAGAAAATGTACATTTCTTGTCCCTGATGTATATTTTATTGGCAGTGATAGCAAGCTGTTTTATTATCAACACTCACTTCTGTAGCTTATATAAACAGCACCAAGTTTTATGCAAAACAAGAGTATTAGTATGAGTACCACTTCTTCATGACAAGTGAAATATTTAAATTAAAGAAGTAAAAAAACAAGAAACATCAGAACCAAAATGCGTATTTCCAGAAACCATACCAGAATAAATGGCTCAGAGCTAAGTAATGAGTAACTGGGAGTTTTGCATAGTACAGGGCACTCTCCTGTATGAATCCACCCATCCATTGATTGTTCCTTACCCCCCAAGAATGGAAAGCAAAGTGGACAGGTGCTAATGAATATAGAAGTACACAAAAAATGTACTGGTAAAAAAAATTGAACTGTACAGTTTCTCATTATCTCTGTCACAGTGCAAAGGATATTTTAAACACATTTTAAAAAACTGAATACATCTGTACAGTATATATGTATGTACCACACTCGCACACACATATATATACACATAAGCATGAATACAAATATCCATGCCAAGTTCAGCAAAAAGACGGAATGTTTAAAATGTGGGTCTTCTGTTCCATAGAAATTTGGAAGTCTGTTCACCCCAGAACAGTTGGCTGTTTAAAATGGCCAAGAAAATGCCCCCCTGCATAAATTGACAACATACTGTACATTTGTCCTCAAAATTCACCAGAGAACTGATAACCACACTTTATAAAAGCTTATATTTGTATTAAAAACACACAAATCAAACAATTCATATGGCTATTCCCTTTATGGAAATCTGTATAGTATAATTTAGATGAATATTACTTTTCTGGAGCACCAGATAAAGAGTATTCACTAAAGAGATGAAGTCTACTGTTGCTTCTTTAAAATTTTCTTTATAATGTAAAGTTTTACAGCCACCCCTGTAAAAGTTATCAAACACCTGATGCTGTTTTTTTCCTTTGGGATTAAGCTGTTTTGGTTCTGAATGTGAATGTGTCAGTTGAAGTCTGTAGCAGAGAATGGATTTCTCAGCACTGTGTGTGAAGTTAGTACTCATGAAAGCATTGTGTTTTTTAAAAAACACACAACAGCAGTTGGCTTTTTGTGTGACGTTTCTAAAACATTTTAGAGTACTAGAATGTAACAGTCCTTTTCACTTGAGAGGAAACTTTGCAAACTGAAGATGGTTTATGATGACAAAATATTCTTAAATAAAGAACATGTCTGTGAACCTGAGAGTTTAAGTCTGATATGAATACGTACATTACTGTGTCTCCACTGGCTAGTACTTTCCTTGTTTAAGTCTCTCAATATGGTAGCATAGCTTTAATGCTGGCCCCAACTTCAGTCCCATATATTTCATTATCATATCGCTCCTTAGTAACAGTAGTGCCTTTCCGTCAATTTCCTACGGAAGGAATAAATACAACATACAACTGCTTTAACAGGTTACATGGTAAAATTAAAAAGTATTATTGTAACATTGTATTAGTTTATACCCTAGTAAAACTTTATGTAGAGTATATAAAACAGTAATTTACTATAATTTAATAACTCTGATGGCTATTAAAACCAGACTGATTTTTATTTAAATATTTATTTTAGTGTTTTCTAAGGCACCTTTTGGTAGGTACTTGAGAGAATGCAAAAGTCAATAATAAAAAGAATTGGACAAAACCAGATACTGTAACCAAAACAAAGGTAACTGGCCCAAGAAGAAAATCCAGAAAGGAAGAGCTGCTAAAGAAGGGAGGCCTCTCTAGTCAAAGATGAAATGACCCAAACACTGAGGCCTTGCACTGAACCTTGAAAACAGCTGTAGAGAGACTCTGGCATGCATGCAAACACCCACACCCACAGAGGAAGGGAGTTATACATCATCTAGGTCTGTGACACGAGACAGATTGTCCAGCCTAAACCAGATGGAATGTTAGGATCAAGAGCAAGGACAACTGAACAGATTTCTACTGCCTTGAAAGAAGCTGTTGAAGTTGGACAGGCCTAAGTTATTAAAACCACTACACAGAATTGGCAATTCAGCAAATATTTCCCTAAAATTGCATACTGAAACCACTTTTTTTAAAAAAAATTGAATAGGCTGAAAAATACAATGAAATTTGATCCCTATTCTAAAAATGTCCAGAAAAACCAAGAAGGGGAGGTGGTTTGGGTTTTTTACATCTATCTATATCAATCTATCTATATTTCAGTATCTTGAAGTTTCCTTTGGACCTAGCTTCCTCCAAACTTAAATGAATGTTTGTTATGAACTGGTGCAGAGTGAATGCAAAATGTTACCATCTTACACCCATTTTGCCCAGGTGTAAAGGAATACACAAGGCAATAGAGACTCTGGCTCGTTGGGTCCACAATTAAAAAAAAGCCAGACACTTCTTGGTGGGGACACTGCCATTTTGAGATGACAGTAGTTCTCTGTTAGGCAGCCCATCATTTAACCCACACAGTGAAAGGAAAATGGGGCAGAATGAAAGGAGTATACAGGGACTGACATGCACAGTTAGAGCTACTAACTTTTGACCTTCCTAAATATCTCATCTAGCTAGTTCTAGTGAAGATTTTTCACCATCTTGGCTAGATCAGACCAGGTAAATGCTTTTCATTATTGTTTTTAACCTTTCTTGTCTCTCCTAATAAAACTGTGATGTCTAAATGCAACCAAGCTTTGCATTTGACTGTTAATAGCTATCCTGGGTGAGAAGTGGAATACAGATAGGGACCGTAAATCTCAAAGAAACTCCAGTTGCAAGTGATTGGACTTTGTCAGTGCCCACAGATCCCGGGGTTTGGTAGGAGCCGGGAATGATGGTACCAACAGAACACAGTCTGGTACTGATGGAGCCCAAAGTTTATGGGCTTTGTTGTTGTGCTTCTGGCACTTAGTATGCCCTAACTCCTCATGAGCCGAGCTAGTAAGCTTGCTTACGGCAGAGTCAGACTTCTCTGAAGTGGACTTTGGGAAGCCTAGGTTTCATGCTTATGAGAGTGCTTCCTGACAAGACCCCACCATGGGCTGTCCCACACCAGAGTCAGGCTTTGCAGTAGGAGGCACACTCCTTGCTGAGTCAGGCCAATGTGCGGGGGCATTCCCCGCCCTGGATCTGATTGGGGTCTCATGGCCTTCTCCATGAGGTATTTGTGGAGATGAAGTTCCCACCCTTTTTGGGTATGGCTGGGAAATGATCAGCAAGTACTGCACCTTGCCGCCATGTTAGCTTCCCCAAGGCAGTGCAGGCAGTGCTGGTGGTCAATGCTGATCAAGAAGGATCATGGGCAGGAAGCACACAGCCTGGAGTCCTGGACATAGTCCGGTCCTTGAACGGGGTACCGGGGAGAGGGTATCCCCAGGAGAATAATCTAATGCTAAACAGTAAAAACTATTAAAACTGTCAAACTATTTGCAAACTAGATGATTCTTATTTTGTAGGCCGAAGACAAAGCTGCAGACTCTAAAGGTTCTGACCCAAACCATGCGGCAGTGAGAAGGAACTGGAGAGGCGTTTGGTCCACCCTGCCCTTTATTCCCTCGGTTGGAGACATGAGGTGAGCCAGGGCGCATGTGCAGACCAGCAGACATTACTTTCAAATTCTCCAGCTCTGGGCACATGAGTAACCCACAGTGGAACAGAATAGGGACCATCACTCAAAGAAGACGCTACAGTTACTATCTCTAGAAATACCGTGGATGGAAGTCCTTGTGGCCCTCAGATGATGGGGCACCAGGGAACACCGTACTCATTGTATAGTTAGTAAGGCCTGGTCTAGACTTAAAAATTAGGCTGACAAAGCTATGGCCCTCAAGGAGTGTGAACAATTCATACCCTTGAGCTAGGGTGACTTTCCATGCCAAACTGGGCAGGACAGATCAGGAATGCAGAGTTCAAGTCCTGGTCTTGGGGGAAATGACTCCAGGACAGCATTTGTCCCAGATTCCCTGCGGTGCTGCTCCACACCTGCCTAAGGCTCAGGAACAGCGCCAGCCTCTTTCCGGTGGGAAGGCCCATGTGGACTTTGACCTCCCTCGCCACAAGCCCATGCCCCCTGCTTCTTTTCTCCCCCAAGGTCCTGCCCCTGGCCAGGCCAGAAGCTGGAGACAGGCAGGAGTAAGAGCTGCCCAGGGAGCCCACACCTATCACCTGCCCTGGGTGGGTGGCCGGGGTGCCTGACAGCAGCCCCTAGCCCAAGGGCGGGCAAACTTTTTGGCCTGAGGGCCACATCGGGTTTCGGAAATCGTATGGAGGGCCGGTTAGGGGAGGTTGTGCCTCCCCATACAGCCAGGTGTGGCCCGCCCCGCCCCCTATCCAGCCCCCCCCCCACCGGACTCTTGCCCCATCCACCCCCCCCCACTTCCTGTCCCCTGACAGCCCCCCAACCCCGATCCAACCCGCTGATCCTTCCTGACTGCCCCCCGGGACCTCTGCCCCCATTCAACCCCTGTTCCCTGCCCTCTGACCGCCTTGACTCCTATCCACACCCCCGCCCCCGACCACCACCCCGAACTCCCCTGCCTTCTATCTAACCCCCTCTGCTCTCTGTCCCCTTACCGCGCTGCCTAGGCACCGGTGGCTGGCGGCGCTACAGCCGCGCCACCTAGATGGAGCGAGCCACGCCACCGTGCAGTACAGAGCACCGGGTCAGGCCGGGCTCTGCAGCTGTGCTGCCCCAGGAGCTCACAACCCCGCCACCCAGAGCATTGCGCTGCCGGTGGGGCGAGCTGAGGCAGCAGGGGAGGAGGAACGGCAGGGGGGTGGCCCGGGGCTTGCCTCCCGGGCCAGTAGCACAGGTGCCAGGCAGGAGGGTCCCGCCGGTCCAATGTGGCCCACGGGCCGTAGTTTTTGCACACCTCTGCCCTAGCCTGTGTCCCTGCCCCGTGGGGCATGCTGCCCAGGGCAGGTGGAGGGTCTGGGGCTCCCCACAGCAGCTCGGGCTCCCTGGGTGGCTCTTACTACTGACCAGCTCTGGCTTTTGGCCTGGCCAGGGGCAGGGCCTCGGTGGGGAGAGGAGCAGAGTGTGGAAGCTTAGGGGGAAAGTAGGAGAAGGTGCTGGGCCTTGGGGAGGAAGAGGAGGAGCAGGGGGCAGAGCAGGCCCACAGAGGGGAGTGGGGCTCCTGCATATGTCCTGCTTTTGCCTTTTGAGCGCCATAGCTGTGCGGACCTAACCCCTGGTGTAGACGCAGATAGACTGACAGAAGAATGTTTCCGTCGAACTTGCTACCATCACTCAGGAAGGTGGAATTCCTACAGCAACGGCCAAACCCATTCTCTCACTGCAGGAAGCATCTACACTACTGCACTACGGCAGCATAGCTATGGCAACGTAGCTGTACCACAGGAGCAGAAGTAGTGTAAACATGGCCTAAGCAACAGCTGTTTAGAGCAGTCTAACAAATTCACTGCATAGAGCAAGTAAATGGGGGGTAAGAGTTCCCAGGCTTAGCAAAGCTTGAACACGCTTTCTAGAGAAAGAAAATCATCTCTCATGAATTTATATGTGGGTGGCATCTGCCCACCTTTCATTGCAAATGCAATAATAGCAGGGAAACTCACAAAAACTTCCTGCGCAGATCAGTAATGTGCTCAAGTCTAGCAGAATAGAAATAGAAAATATCATACGTGTCTCCTGAAGAGTTCTGCATGAGGTGCTAATGCCTGAGGATCAGCGTCTTTCACAAATCGCATTACTTCATCTATTGACCAGGTAGAAGGATCCTGATTTGGTACTCGGGAGGGTTCCCTTTTTAGTGCACTGAGATCAGGACCTGTTGTAGAACTTGCAGCTTAAATGTAAAACATTGGCAAAGGGAGAAATGTTGTAAGTGTCCATGTAGTAAAAACACATCCTTGCAGACTCAAGTGAATGGAAAAATACAACATTGTTAGTGTCCTGTATCAGTAGCAGTCCTCTCATTTCTACCAGTGTATCAACCTGGCTAAGATCAATCAAATTCTTTTACAATTTATTAAAATGAAAAATATTTGATTTTCCTTCTAAAAAGTCATCGAGATGTTCTATTTGGGCCACAGCATGAATTTGCATTCAGATGACTTCTACAACTGCAGATACACACAATGGCATAAGTGTTAGCACTATGGATCAATTTGAGACATTTGGTTCCTAGCTCCCAGGACACCAGAAGCTGGGAATGCTATGCAGGAATGCAGTGCTCCCTGAGGGAAGGGAACCCCTCACTGCAAATTTCAGAGGGTCCTGTGGCACCTTTGAGACTAACAGAAGTATTGGGAGCATAAGCTTTCGTGGGTAAGTACCTCGCTCCCTTCACGACTTCTTATGCTCCCCATACTTCCGTTAG